TGATAAAGTACAAAGATGAATGCATACATAATTGATTTGTGTCGTTCAGTGTGGCTTCTGCAGCTGGAGCGGCCGTCTGGGTTGTGAAGTTTGAAGCAACAGGTACATTCTGTCATTTTATAATGGGTTAGGGTTAGGGTTTCTTCCTTCAGGGATATATTTAATACATTTGATCTATATATTTTTACTTGAGTATACCTTTCCCCTTGCTGAAGCAATGGAGTTATTTGGTCCGCCATCCTGTTGAGGAGATTCTTCCAGGGGTCTTCCCCAAGTAATCTGTTTACTCTCTGGGAATAGATTTGTTTTGTAAACTCAGTTTTTTAAGAGCGTGAAATTGCCCTCATGCATCATTTGCAGACATTGAATGAGTAAAAACATACTATTTACAAAATATAATCAGCTGTTTGTCACTCACCAAACGTTTGAGAGGGGCCAAAGATATCCTTCAGAGGCTCGAAGGTTGAAGGTCCAACGTTAGCGGCTGAATGAAGGGAACTTGTTAATCTTAACTGGTCACTCTGAGGGATACTATATCCCCTCTGTGTGCATCCCATCATCCCCTGGTGAGTCCTCAGACCCTGGTAGGTCGTAACCAGGAGGTTCTCATCTGATGTTTGGGGTATCTGTAGAAGTCACACACACACATTTAGAAAGCACTAACACATTTGTAAAAGCAACAATTTCTTCTCAATATGTTCTGTGAAACTATAGCCATGAAAATTCCTCAATTCAGTAAGACCAAGTAATTGTCTTCGTTGTATTTGTTTGATTATTTGTTTGATTATTTTTTTGATGTCGGTCTGTGGGGTTTGAAGCATTGATTTGTAGAATTTAGGCAGGGAGTAGTCACCCTCTAGGGGTACTCTAGAGTATTTTTTGTGGGGTCTTGACTACTTCCTGCTGTAAATGACACGCTGCCAGGACATAAAAAAAAGATTGAAATATTTTTTTACGGTAGAAAGTTAGTTGTCAATGTAGAGCGAATCAAGGGGCCAGTGTTGTGGAAGAATTCACAACAATAGAAACTAACATTTAAAACAAATATTTGTGTGTACATGTAAGTAATGTATATTTGCTTGAATATACCTCCCAGACTGGAGTAACCCCGTTATTTGGTCCGCTGTTGTTTTGACGGGATTCTTCCACGGCATTTCTCCACATGAACTGTTGATGATCTGAAAAACATAATAAGAAAACCAATATTTTTCTAGAAAATGCCGTTATTTCTGTAGAAGACAACCATCCATGTTTGGGAGAGAGCTCTTAACCGTTACTGTCACTCTTCATATTTTCTACATTTGACCCTTATCTGCAGCAGTTTAATGAAAGACATCAGTTATAACTAAAAATATGTAGCACTCACCGATCTCCAGATAAGGGCCGAGGATATCTTTCAGAGGTTCTTCTATTTGGATTGACGGTCCAATGTTAGCAAACATGTATCTTGTGAATCTGAATTGGTCACTCTCAGGGATACTCATTCCCATCGGTGTGCATCCCATCTTCCCCTGGTGAGTCCTCAGACCCTGGTAGGTGGTGACTTTGGACCATCCGCAGTAGCAAACCTGCATGCTCTTGTCTGATGTGTTGGGCATCTGTAGAGGTCACACACAGACATTAGGAGAGGACGTGCTCCACATAGAAGCAACACATGCCACCCAATATGTTCTGTGTACAGGAGGCTCAGAGGTGAATGATTGTATTCATTTTCTAATATGTATTTAAATGTCTTGGAAAATAGCATTTATTGAAAGTCTCCACCCAGTATTTCAATCTTTCTGTGTGTACAAACATATTTTGAGATTGACAATAAAGTTGACTTTGACTTTGAAGTAAGTACAGATTTCAACTTTTGTTTTGTGTCAATGCTTAATTTTTATTTGGACATTTGGAGAATAAATAAAAACCCAATTTTAAGATCTTAATGGTCACCTGATGAGTCCCCAAAAGTAATTATTGATGTGATTAAATATGTGTAGGACTGAGATTAGACAGTGATTAGTCGCCCTCTAGAGGTACTCTGCAGTACTTCGGGTTGAATTGCCTACTTCCTCCTGCTAATTAAATAGAAAAAAAACATGTAAAAGTAAACTAAAATAGCGTAGATACAGCCTATAAGGGATAATTATCTACTAGTATGTATAATAAATGTAACCAAGCATTATGTTAAACCAGTACACAATTTAAAATGGGGTTGGATCAATTAGTGATTAAGTAAATAAATACAAATATGAATAAATAATGCAACACTTCAAGATAGAAGACATATCAAAGACAGGTTATATAATGAGAAAAACATTTGTTATTAGTCATCATATATCATTTATCTATTGAATAATTATTTCTTATATACATTTTAACTTTTGTTATCTTAAAAAATTCTACTATCAGTTTAAGATAAGTTTGAACAAACTTGGAAATAAAAAAAAAACATTTATATCTCTTTGACATCTTAAGAACAGCCCATTAAACATTTATATTTTCCACACACACCCCACTGTTTTTATTGCAGTGTTTGCACACGCCCTGAAACTTGTCCACAGCATATTTGCTTTGCTGTCCTGTCTCATTCAAAGTCTATTATTAGTTTGTCTGCACAGTATTCATAGAGTGTAATACAACCTAAACAGCTGTAGATGCTATGGTTCACACTGCAAAGATCAATATGTTTACATTAAAAAAGATCAGTGGTGGAAGTAACTAAGAATTGACTTAAGTAAGATTTTGAGGATGTACTTAAGTTTTTAAATTGTACTTCTACTCCTCTACCATTTTTGTTTCCACTAAATTGTTTTAATACCTTTAGCTACTTTACAGATTTGGATTAATGATGTGAAATATAATCAACTCTTAAATCAGACTTTAGTTCCACCTGGAGTAAATTCATAAGCTACCTGCAGAATACAAGTCATTAAAACTAACTGCACCTTTACCAGCTTTGATAACACTTTAATGCATCAATAATTATAATCAAAACATATCATATATATTATTCTGAAAGGATATCTGCATTATGAGTACTTTT